CAGGGTGGCTCTTACAGTGTGAGAACAGTTTGATCCTGGATCACCCCTAAATGCTGAATGCATAACAAGGCCAATCAACACAGTCAGCTTCTGAATATTCATGCGCAGATGATGCACCCAGTCAATATGCTTGATTTCTGTATTTACTGATAGATGTTCAAATGCACCGAGCAAACCAAGATTCTAAACAAAACAAAGCAAAAAAACAATCCACACAGAAAAACAGAAAAGAAACTTGTGTTGAAAGCTTATATTATTTCTAGATAGGACTGCCAGATAAAAATACTGATACTAAAAAAATGTCATTATCTATCTGATTCCAATTTAACCGGGCACCCTGTATTTTCATTTATTAAAATTGGCAACTTATTTCTGGGATAATAACCCTATGTAGAAGAGATGGCTGAAGACAGTATCTGGCGGCCATGCCCACAATCTGGGAGTCAGAAGCAAGGAACATCAAAGGAGGAATCCAAGAAGCAGAGAAGGAGAGTCTACAAAAGTCTGAAGGGAGAACCAGGTGCGCACAGAGCTTCTGCTGAGCAGTGACACAGGCCCAGGGGACCGGGAGGATGCTCAGTAGAAAAGGCCCGATGACTGCAGAGTTTGGCCCTTACAAAGTTGCTGGTGCTTCTAAGTTCTAAATCAGCCCAGCCAGTGTGGCTCAGTGGTTGAGCGTCAACCCATGCACCAAGAGATCGCTGGTTCGATTCCCAGTCAGGGCACATGCCCAGGTTGTGGGCCCGATCCCCAGTGGGAGGCATGCAGGAGGCGGCCAATCAATGTTCTCTCTCATCGATGTTTCTATCTCTCTTTCCCTCTCTCTGCCTCTCTCTAAAATTAATAAAGGAAAAAAACATTAAAAAGAAAAAGAAGAAGTTCTAAATCAGTGGTTCTCAGCGAGGTTGGGGTGAAGATGGGGTGCCTATTGGAATGAGCTATAGCATATCAGAACTGAAATCTACATGCTAGAAATAGCCCATTTCCCTTCTGCAGGTTGGGGAGAGAAGCATAACATATATGTAACCCTTATCAACTCAGAATTTATGTGGTTCAGTTTGGGAGTTGTGTTGTGGTTAGTAAAGCATGAACTAAATTATAAATCTTTTCTTATAAACCATAAAGGAGATCCCTATTTAAAAATTTCATTAGAAAATCCAGCCTTCAATCTACTTCCTCGCTGTTCTCTCGTGCACCCCCCTCCATAATGTCTTCAACCTTCAGCTGTTCCTCCTTCCCATCTATTTTCCTTTTTGTTAAGTAAATCAATTAGACCTCTTTTTCCAGCAAAAAGGTCCAACTTCCCCAACCCTGTCCCAACTCATCTGAACGCTGAAGCCTTTTCGAAGGGGGTAAATGGAGATGACAATTATAAAATTCTCTTTGGCAGGCTGGGGAAGGAAAAATGCATTTTCTTGCCCTGTCCCTGGTATTTTGAAAAACTTTCCAAATGATTCTGATATCTGGCTCCCTTTGTGTTTTAACCCAGACAGAAAGCTTTTTTATTTCTTGAAAAGTCCTATTTATTGGCAAATTTCTCTCTGCAAATCACATTCTTCTTTCTGCACTGGACCCAGAAAGAAGTGTCACCGTGTAGAAGTGGACATCTGTCATCTCCCTACAAAGATCACAAAGTGCCACCGGCAGGTAACTCCGAATATCTACCTGGATCCTACAGTCAAGATTACTGGCTAGCCCTGGCCGGTTTGGCTCAGCGGTTAGAGCATCAGCCCGCAGCCCACTAAGGGCATGTACCCCAGTTGCAGTTTGTCCCCGGCCCCGGATGGTGTTGTGTGGGTGGCAACCACTCGATGTGTCTCTCTCACGTCAATGTTTCTCTCTGTCTCTTCCTCCCTCTCTCCCTCCCACTCTGTCTGAGGATAAATAGAAAAAAAAATTCCTGGCTAGACTCCTCTAACTTCAACAAGATCTTGCTAAAACAACCATAATAACAACAAAACAGAAAAAAACAAACAACAAAAAAACAAGGCTGACCTTAGGAGGTCCAGTCACCTTCCCAGCTGGAATCATACTGAGGATGAAGCTCCCCTGTATTATCAAAGCTGCCTTGGTGGTGGTGACTATGGCAGCTGCTAGGCCGATGCAGGAGCGCAGGCTGGGCAGCCAGCCCAGCAGGATATCTGTAGTGTGGGATGTGATCTTAGCCTTCCCGCTGGCCTGTGAATCCCCAAGGGTCAGAGTCCCACTCTGCTGGTCCGACTCAAAGTTCCTTAGGACTCCAGGTGTTCTGAAAAGATCTTCTGACCTCTCCCTTCCCACTTCACCCTCTAACCGCTCTCTGTGGCAAAGGACTTACGTGAACAACCTCAAGTCTGATGATGAGCAAGGCCTCCAAGTACCAACACCTATTCTATGCCTAAAAAAAAAATTCAGGCCCTGGCCGGTTTGGCTCAGCAGTTAGAGCGTCGGTCCACAGATCAGAGTCCCGGGTTTGATTCCAGTCAAGGGCACATACCTCAGTAGTGGTTCATCCCCGGCCTTGGTTGGGTTATGCGGGAGGCAGCCAATGTGGCTCTATCACATTGAAGTGTGTGTGTTTCTCTCTCTCCCTCCCTCCCCCACCCCCATTCTATCTGATGATAAATAGAAAAGTATCCTCAGGTGAGGAGTAAAAATAAAAAATCAAAATTAAAAAAGTTCAGACTTGAGGGAGACTATGCTCAGTTGTTTCAAACCTATTTTCAAAACTCAGGGTAATGAAGGCTTTATAGACAAACTCCAGTAACAGCTCCATTTACCCCTAACATGTGGCTGCCAATGATCAATTGACCCCTGTTCCTGAAGGGAGGAGAGAAAATTACTAAAGAGGACCCCATTCCCAGAGGAAATTGCCTTTAAAAAGTCTGGGGCCTTGTTTGCCGGCTTAGGATTCTTTTTTTATTTTGTCCTCACTCAAGGACATTTTTCCATATTTTGTTCAGATAGAGTGGGAGGGAGAGAGAGAGAGAGAGAGAGAGAGAAACATCGACGTGAAAGGGACACATCGAGTGGTTGCCACCCACACGACCCAACCAGGGCCGGGGACAAACTGCAACCGAGGTACGTGCTCTTAGCAGGAACCGAACTCGGGTCTCTCTGGACCGCAGGCCGACGCTCTAACAGCTGAGCCAAACTGGCCAGTGTTGGCTTAGGATTCTTAAAGGGATTGTCTTAGCCTCTAACCCCCAAAGTTAATAAAGCAAACAAAAACAATAAAACTACCTGTGAAATCCAAATTCAAACTTTCTGGTGACTGGTGAGTCCATTTTTGCATCCATGACCTCAGTCAAGGCAACACGCATACATACACACACACACACAGAGCACACATACATATACCAATGTCCTTACAAGAATATAAATGTTGCCCGGCCGGTGTGACTCAGTGGTTGAGCATCGATTCATGCACCAAGGGGTCGCTAGTTCCATTCCCAGGTTGTGGGCCAAATCCCCAGTGGGGGCTTGCAGGAGGCAGCCATCAGTGTTCTGTCTCATCGGTGTTTCTATCTCTCTCTCCCTCTCCCTCCCTCTCTCTCTAAAAATCAATAAAGAAAAAAAATAATAATATAAATGTTAACACCTATAGCAATGTGAATTCCATCATCCCACCTGTAGGCATTGGGTCACATTAGGCTTCCCATTAAGACAAATGACTGTCGTCTTATGGGTTCTACTCAGCACAGGTCTGGAGTTGTGGATGTTTGTGAACCCACCTCTCTGCCTCTGTGGCTTTTTCTCTGCCTTTGGCCACCAGATGGCATTCTGGAAACATTCTCATTACCAGAGTTTTTTGTACCAAGGTTTCCTGCTTTACTCCTAACTGGCCTTCCTCCTTCTCTCTTCTCTACTCCCTCCCAATCCATTTTCCAGAGGGGCTTCTGGAGGGCAAATTTGTGTCATCTTTGGGCAACTCACCTAACTCTCTATAGTTAGGTTCTTCATTCTAATGGCACAGTTGTGAGGCTGGCATGAGACGATGTAGGTCATTGAAGCACAGGGAGCCCCGGGGAACGAGCTTTCCAAGTGAAGAGAGAAATGCAAGACCATCTTCACCATCTGCATATGAGGCATAAAACCTGGAAAATAATACAGGTGAAAACAAGTCTCCTGTGTTGAGAGCTTTCTCTGCACCAGGCACAGTGCCAAGCCCCACGCGCATCATCTCACTGAATCCTTACCACAGACTCATGAGGTGGGTCACAGCCACTCTACAGAGAAGGAAACTGAAGCCCAGAGAGGTTAAGTGACTTGTGCAATGTCCCCAAGCTAGGGAGTGTCCTGTATGTCTCCAGAGCCATGCCATAGGAACTGGCCCCTTGCTGTGGCTCATGGGCTTCAGTAAGATGGTTGGGAAACCTCCAGAGGTGGATCTGGGGTGAAAGGAGAGGGTGTGGGAAAGAAACAGCAGAAGGGAAGGAAGATTGTAGATGTGGGGTTTAGCCTAGGGAGGTCCCTTAGCCACCCTTGTCCTAATGACCGCAGGCCTCCAGGCCCGGAGTCACATGTGTCCCAACGGGGCACCTCTGGTCTCAAGGACTCAGCTGTAAACATTCATCTAGGGGAAGCTGGCCCTTAATGCCCCCTACTGCAAATGCTTTATAAAACTCTGGACTCAGCTTCAAGGTAGGGTGTAAGCCTGGGGGAAGGCTGGGGACAGCAGACTGAGAAGCAGTAAGCCACCTCAAAGGCCACCCAAGCTAACTGCCACTCACCTCCTTCTGGGCCTCACCTCTGCAAGGAAGGAAAAGGGGTGGGGGGGCATGCCTTAAAATGTCCAGGAGTATTGCGGGGGCAGCGGGGGATTCTCATTCGGGGGACTCTGCCATAAACAGCAGTGGGGAGAGAATTGGAGGAAGGGAGGAAAAGGGAGAGGAAGGTGTGGGAGAGGGAAAAGTCTAAAACCTCCAAGACACAGGAGGAGGAGGCTGGGGGATCCCCCAGACGGGCTCAGACTGGACCAGATGCAGAGAACAATGGGCCTCCAGGCTGGGAAGCAGGAAGGAAAGTGGGTAGGCGGCTACATGGCCGGGCCAGGGAGACACTTGTGCTTCAGGAGCCAAGGCCACGGGCACTCTCCTGGGTCCCTGTGGGCAGGGACTGCCCCAGGGCCAGTGTGGGAGCCAGGGACAGCCACAGGTGGGAGGAGCTGTGTGGATCATGACACCCACGGCTGATAACGTCATTGCCTGTGACTCGGGCCAAGCCCAGGCCCTTCATTCATCATTTCATCCTCGCAATTTCCTGCTGGAGGGCTACTATTCTTATTCCCATTCACACTCTAAAAAGGAGGTGGTGGAAACCCAGAGAGGCTCAGCAACTCACCCCAAATGACGCAGCTGGTAAACTGCCGAGTCAGGATTTGAGCGCAGGCAGTTTGGCTCTGATGGCCTTTCTTTTCATCACAGCTGCTTCCCATGCGGCAGAAATGGGTGATCAGGACAGAGTGAAGATTAAAGGTAGATGAGCGTAGGGAAAAGACCAGAATGAGAGAGGAATAATGGGGAAAAGCCAGATACAAAGAGAGCCAAGGAAAGGAGGAGACAGGGAGCATAGCTTTGCCCAGGAGGGGCCTCAGGCCCTGGGTGACAGGCAGGGGCTCAGGCTCTGCTCACTTGGCCACACAGGGACTCGGCTCCCCTCAGTGGCCACCTTGTTGCATGGACAGCACCTGCCCACCCAGCCTGCCTCCAGAGCCCCGCCGCATCCTCCTCGGCAGCAAGCGGCGGGCCACCGGGCTTCACGGGAAGCGTGCTCTCTTTCTCTATTTGGCACTGAAACTCACAGCCCTCCCTTTTCCTGTAGGTGGGGTTTCCATAGGAAAAAGCTGCTTCTCTGTTTCCCCAGCCTAGCAACTGTTTGGAAGTCAGATCCCCACATCCTGCTCTACTGGGTCAAGTCCCTCTTGGACCGGCTCTTGCCCATCATTGGTTGAAGTGAACCAACGGGTGCTCCTGTGCGGGGTCTGCCCTGGCAATCTTACTTCGTCAGTGCTGGGACCTCTTGGATCTCTTCGGATGAAGATGGCCTTGCCTGGGAATCCTGCTAGTTTCACCATCATCTAATTATGGGACGAGACTGTGCCAGCAGGTCTGGGGGCAGGAGAACGAGGCTAATCAAGCCCCCCCAGAAACACTGGAGGACTTCTCAGCTTTTGAAGAACTCCAGCGGTTTCTCAGTCTAGCCGATTCTGGCGGTAAGCATGATGCAACTTCTGCGACTTTTGCTGGGGCTTTTGGGGCCAGGTGGCTACTTGTTCCTTTCCGGGGATTGTCAGGAGGTGGCCACTTTTACTGTGAAATACCAAGTGTCAGAGGAAGTGCCGCCTGGCACGGTGATAGGGAAGCTGTCCCAGGAACTGGGCTGGGAGAAGGGGCATGGGCAAGCAGGCACAGCCTTCCAGGTCTTGCAGCTGCCTCAGGTGGTCCCCATCCAGGTGGACTCTGGGGACGGCTTGCTCAGCACAGGAAGTCGGCTGGACCGAGAGCAGCTTTGCCGGCAGCAGGATCCCTGCCTGGTTTCCTTTGATGTGCTTGCCACAGGGGACTCAGCTCTGATCCATGTGGAGATCCAGGTACTGGACATCAATGATCACCAGCCACAGTTTCCCAAAGGCGAGCAGGAGCTGGAAATCTCCGAGAGTGCCTCTCTGCGCACCCGGATCCCCCTGGACAGAGCTCTGGATCCAGACACTGGCCCCAACACCCTGCACTCCTACTCCCTGTCTCCTAGTGAGCACTTCGCCCTGGACGTCATCGTGGGGCCGGATGAGACCAAACATGCGGAACTCGTGGTGGTGAAGGAGCTGGATCGGGAAATCCACTCGTTTTTTGATCTGGTGTTAACTGCCTATGACAGTGGAAATCCCCCCAAGTCAGGCACCAGCTTGGTCAAAGTCAACGTCCTGGACTCCAATGACAACAGCCCTGTGTTTGCTGAGAGCTCACTGGCACTAGAAATCCAAGAAGATGCTGCCCCTGGTACTCTCCTCATAAACTTGACCGCCACAGACCCTGACCAAGGCCCCAACGGGGAGGTGGAGTTCTTCTTCAGTAAGCACGTGCCTCCAGAGGTGCTGGACACCTTCAACATTGATGCCAAAACAGGCCAGGTGATTCTGCGTCAACCCCTAGACTACGAGAAGAAGGCTGCCTATGAGGTGGATGTTCAGGCAAGGGACCGGGGTCCCAATCCCATCCCAGCCCATTGCAAAGTCCTCATCAAGGTTCTGGATGTCAACGACAATGCCCCAAGCATCCACATCACATGGGCCTCCCAGCCCTCGCTGGTGTCAGAAGCCCTTCCCAAGGAGAGTTTCATTGCTCTCATCATGGCGAATGACTTGGACTCAGGAAACAATGGTCTGGTCCACTGCTGGCTGAGCCAAGATCTGGGCCACTTCAAGCTGAAAAGGACCAATGGCAACACATATATGCTGCTAACCAATGCCACGCTGGACAGAGAGCAGTGGCCCAAATATACCCTCACTCTGTTGGCCCAAGACCAAGGACCCCAGCCCTTATCAGCTGAGAGACAGCTCAGCATTCAGATCAGTGATGTCAACGACAATGCACCTGTGTTTGAGAAGAGCCGGTATGAGGTCTCCACTAGGGAAAACAACCTACCCTCTCTTCACCTCATTACCATCAAAGCTCATGACGCAGACTTGGGCACTAATGGACAAATCTCATACCGCATCCAGGACTCCCCAGTTTCTCACTTGGTAGCCATTGATTCAGACACAGGAAAGGTCATCGCTCAGAGGTCACTGGACTATGAACAGATGGCCAGCTTTGAGTTCCATGTGATCGCGGAGGACAGGGGACAGCCCCAGCTCTCATCCAGCATCTCTGTGTGGGTCAGCCTCTTGGATGCCAATGATAACGCCCCAGAGGTGATTCATCCCCTACTCAGTGATGGAAAAGCCAGCCTCTCAGTGCTTGTAAATGCCTCCACAGGTCACCTTCTGGTGCCCATTGAGACTCCCAATAGCTTGAGTCCAGCGGGCACTGACATGGCACCACTGGCTACCCACAGCTCTCAGCCGTTCCTTCTGGTGAACATTGTAGCGAGAGATGCAGACTCAGGGGCAAATGGAGAGGTCCTCTACAGCATTCGAAGTGGGAATGAAGCCCGCCTCTTTGTCCTCAGCCCTCAGCTGGGGCAGCTGTTCATCAACATCACCAACGCCAGCAGCCTCATTGGGAGTGAGTGGGAGCTGGAGATAGTGGTAGAAGACCGTGGCAGCCCCTCCTTGCAGACCCAAGCCCTGCTGAGGGTCTTGTTCGTTACCAGTGTGGACCACTTGAGGGACTCAGCCCGTGCTCCTGGGGCCCTGAGCACATCGGTGCTGACAGTAATTTGCCTGGTTGTCCTGCTGGCCATCTTCGGGTTAATCTTGGCTCTGATCATGTCCATCTGCCGGACGGAGAAGAAAGACAACAGGGCCTATAACTGTCGGGAGGCTGAATCTACCTACCGCAACCAGCCCAAGAGACCCCAGAAACACATTCAGAAGGCAGATATCCACCTTGTGCCTGTGCTCAGGGGCCTGGTGGACGAGCCTGGTGAAGTGGGGCAGCCCCACAATGATGTGGGCAAAGAAGCAGCGATGGAAGCAGGCTGGGACCCCTGCCTGCAGGCCCCCTTTCACCTCACACCAACCCTGTACAGGACCCTGCGTAACCAAGGCAACCAGGGAGCACTGGCTGAGAGCAGAGAGGTGCTACAGGACACAGTCAACCTCCTTTTCAACCATCCCAGGCAGAGAAACGCTTCCCGGGAGAACCTGAACCTTCCCGAGCCCCAGCCTGCACTGGGCCAGCCCCGCTCAAGGCCCCTGAAGGTGGTAGGCAACCCCACAGGGAAGCTGCCCGGAGACCAGGGCAGCGAAGAGGCCCCATTGAGCTCACCAGCCTCCTCTGCAACCCTGAGGCGACAGCGAAATCTCAATGGCAAAGTGGCTCCCCAGAAAGAGTCAGGCCCCCGTCAGATCCTGCGAAGCCTGGTCCGGCTGTCAGTGGCTGCCTTCGCGGAGCGGAACCCTGTAGAGGAGCTCACTGTGGATTCGCCTCCTGTTCAGGTACCTCGGTGGGGGCAGCTCTCACTTTGGTCACCCCTGGACCACTACCAACAGCATCAGACCCCACCATTACCCTCTCAATCCTCATATTCATTCCTTATGCTCACTGAGCACTTTATGATGCATTGAGTGCAGTGGTTCAAGGCGTAGCTCTAGAGTCAGAATTTAGCTGTGTGATCCTGGGACAAATTATTCACTGTCTCCGAGCCTTAGTTTTCCTATCTGTAAAATAGGAATGACTGTAAGAACCTGCCTCGCAGAGTTGTCCTGAGAATTTAATCAGTTAATTCTCATACAGCACTGGCTCAGGGAGCCTGGCACAAGTAGACACACAGCAAAGGTAGGGATTAAGAATATAAGCTTTGTTGCAAGGCAACCTGGGTTCAAATCCTGACTCCACCTCTTTCTAGCTGTGAACCACAGGGAAGTTACTTAGCTTCTCTGTTGAAGATGTTCATGTTAATAACACCCATGTCTTAAGTTTGCTTGAAAATAAAATGAGGGCACTCTGGAATAGTGGCCAGCACGTAGACAGCGCTCAGCGCATGATTACGATGACTTCTGCAAAGCTCCTTCCGTCTCCACCCAGGCAATCACCCTGTGAAGCAGGCTGGCATGGGCATCATTGCCCCAGGCTCAGGGCTGCGTATCACTTGATTGAGACCCCAGAGCTTGCCGGCTGGGTTTGGGATGGCGCAGTGAAAGCAACCTCAGAATTTGGGAGTTGGGCAGATCTGGGCTTAAATTTCAGCATAACCCCTTAGGAGCCGGGCGACCCTGGGCAAGTCTTTTAATATCTGAGCCTCATTTTCCTCATCTATAAAGTGGGGATTTTTATGCCAAACTTACCCTGTGTCTACCTCCCAGGGGTTTGAGGATTAAATGGGATGATAAATGGCAAAGTGTCTAGAGACATAGGATTTATTAGACACAAATGGGAAATGTTTTCAGAGGTGGTGCCTGATACCACACTGATATCTGCTTCTCTGCACCCCAGATCATTTGCCCTGTGTCAGGCTGCTCATCCAAAGCACACTTCTGTTTGGCCAGGCCATCAGCTGAGGCTTCCTGTGGAGCAAGGACACAGCTTCCTTCCCCCACCCTCTTCCCAGGAAGCCACCTGGAGAAGGCCCAGTTGCTTTCTTAGGAGTCCTGCCCTAGGCTCTGTGTAGCCCCAAAGGTTGCCCAGGGCTATTCATTTGTTCGTCCATCCATCCATCCATCATCCATCCATCCATCCATCCATCCATCCATCCATCCATCCATCCATCATCCATCCATCCATCCAATGCTTACTGAATGAGCTCTTTGTGACAAAAACTGGTTAATAGTAAATAGAGACGGCAGAGAGTAGGCACTGTGGTTGGCCCCACTGAGGTGATGGAAAGAAGGGTGCCCATTTGGGATCAACTTGAGGGTAAGAGGCAGCTCACCTAATGCTGTCTTTCCAGTAGTACAGCACCACAATGGAGTCAGATCCAAGCTCAAATTCTAGCCCTACTACTGGTTGCTGTGCAGCCCCTGTGAGTCTCAGGTTTTACACCTGCAAAATGGGTATAATGGTATCTCTTCCCTTGGGTTATTGTAAGAATTAAATGAGATTATATGCAACTAGACAGTTAATAAGTGCTTATCGTAAGATCTATTAGTAAGTGATTTATATCCTTTTACTCATATAATCCTATAAACACAACCACTAAATGACCTGGATCTCATTATTATTCCCCTTTTTTTTTTCTGCTGAGGAAACTGAGGATCAGAATGCTTAAGTAATTCCTCAAGGCCTCATAGGTGGGAACTGGGGCAGGGTCAGGTTTAGGATTGGAACCCGAGTCCAGCTGACGCCAGAGTCTGGGCTCTAACTGTGAAGTGACTTTGAACAACAGTGTTCAACTCAGGGGATGGTGCCCAGGGAGTGTCCCTGAAACATAGGCTGTCACTCAGGGAAATGGTGGCATGTATCTTAGGAGGTGGGATCTGCAGGTAGGCAATGGGACCCTGCCCCTCTCAAGTCACATTGAAACCCCAGTCCTGGCCACCTTCCCTTCCAACTCTCCTCTGGGATCGGCACTTTCTATCTTGAACTGCCCAGAGAGATGAAGTGGGCCTTCTCAAGGAAGAGGGGAGGGCTCAGGAGGGAGAAGCAGTGTTTCTAGGAGGAATAACCCAAACTCCTTGCATTCGTGGAGCATTTTAACTTTCAAGCCATCTAATTAATCCTGACAACCCATGAAAAGTCTGGGTGGGTATTTCTAGCTGCACTGGAGAGATGAGGAAAGGCCTGAGTAGGTCTAAAAGCCCGCTGACAGTATACACACTAGAAATGACCTTGAACTAGAACTCAGCCTCCCAAGACTTGGTCTGTTGCCTTCTCCCTCGCAAGGCCCTGCAGGGTCTGGCCCGGACATCCTGACCAACTTCTGCCCCATTCTCCAGCGACTCTTCCGACCTTTCGGTGGTTAGTGCCTTCTGTCTGGCACGCCCTTCACCCTTGGCCCAGACCCTTACCCTCTCTCCACTTGCCAAAATCCAATGGAGCCTTGGGGTCTCAGCAGGCGTGCCTAGCATGTAGTATGAATTCAATAAACATTTGTAGAAATAAGTGAATAAACTTGCCCTGTTTTACCCCACAACTTCCTCTTTGCTCCAAGTTGAGTGAGGGGCTGTCCTCTGCTCCCACAGACCTCCATCCTTTCTCAACCCAATGCAACTTCCTATAGTAACCGCTGTGCCCTGTCTTCCCTGACAGACTGTGAGTTCCCTCATAGCAGATAGTGGGCCTTGTTCTCATTCATATTCCCATAGTGAGCACAGGGCCTAGCACAAGCAGAAATACCTATTGAATGAATAAATGAAAGCATGAATCAATGAATGATTAAATTACACCATTTTTTGCCCAGCCGGTGTGGCTCACTGGTTGAGCGTCGACCCGTGCACCAAGAGGTTGCTGGTTCGATTCCTGGTCAGAGCATCTGCCCAGGTTTTGGGCCAAATCCCCAGTGGGGGGCATGCAGCCAACTAATATTCTCTCTCATTGATGTTTCTATCTCTCTCCCTCCCCCTAAAATCAATAAAGAAAAAAGTATATAAATAAATAAATAAAATAAATGACACCATTTTTGCATCCTCTACAACATGCTCTTACATCTGGCCCACAAAAATCTTATTGGCTGAGTACTTGAATACTGATGAAGGGGGGAAATAACTGTTTAAGATCATCCTGATCAAAGTTATAATGAATTTATGGTCAGGAAATGCCTTTTTCACCTCCCTCCCCACAGATTCCAATGGGAGCAGGTCACTTGGGGGAGGAGAGGGGATGAGCCCAGAGGGTGCCCATTCTCTCCCGCAGACACTCCGGTCCTGAGGTGACAAAGGCAAAGCAGGGAGCCTGCCTGCACAGGTCCCTGCCTCTCCCACTGCTCACCACTCATCATCCCCCATCTGATCACACAATCATCTGAAACTGGAGGAAAGACTATAAAAAGAAAGCGCCGGCATTGAGGGAAACATCCGGCGAGGAAGTGTGCTGGGTCAGAATTGTGTGGAGTCAACAGATTTTTCCTGTCTTGTAGCAAATCTCCCAGCTGCTGTCCTTGCTGCATCAGGGCCAATTCCAGCCCAAACCAAACCACCGGGGAAATAAGTACTCGGCCAAGCCCTGCAGCGGCAGGTAAGCACACGTAGCCCCACAGGATTCTCCAGCCCCTCTCTGGCCTCCCCGCACCCCTGCGGTCTCTGTGACAGTAAGGAAGGGTGAGCACATCCCAGATGCTGCTCCCCTGGGAGAGTGCAACGGACAGCATCCATCCCCCTATCCCAGGCCACTTGAAACTGGAGCTACTGTATTTATAGTATTTACAGGACAGAGTCACTAAGGAAATGACTTCATCCCGAGGCTCTGATTTTCTGTCCCCTGGTTGCAGAGGTGCTGGGCTTTGAATTTTCAATCCGTAACTTTCAGCTTTCTTTCCCTTGACCCTTAAACATAATATGAAGGCCCCTGGCTAAGGACATGGATGTTTGAGTGTGTTCCTTTGGGCTGTCCTAGAATTAAAGAGACCTCAAGGCCATCTAATCTAACTCCTTGTTACAGATGGAGAAACTGAGGCTCTAACTAGTTTGATCCAACCCAGTCATGTAAACTTAAGCAAGTCAGATAAATCCCCAAGGCCTTGGTTTCTCATCTTTAAAATGAAGGTCATCGCACTTTCTTGTAGTGATGGGGTAAGGATTTAATGATCAAATGTATTCTAAGCCCATAGCCCAGTGCAGGGCACATAGTAGGTGCACAAGCAATGCTCAGTCCTTTCCTCTTAAAGTGACTTTGTTCAAAGTCATATAGCCAGTGAGTGGCAAGGCTGGGACCAACTCTCAGGACATCTGACTCCTGGTTCAGTGCCCTAGCCATGACCACTTGTAGCTGCCTTTTTTTTTTTTTAATCCTTACCTGAGGACATTTTTCCATTTTTTATCCAGATAGAGTGGGAGGGAGAGAGAGAGAGAGAGAAACATCGACATGAAAGGGACACATCGAGTGGCTGCCACCCACATGACCAACCAGGGCCGGGGACGAACTGCAATCGAGGTACGTGCCCTTAGCGGGAACCAAACCCGGGTCTCTCTGGACCACAGGCCGACGCTCTAACCACTGAGCAAAACTGGCCAGGGCAAGCTGCCTTTTTTTTTCAAAGATAGTGAGAGGTAGTGTAGAGCAGGGGTGAATACGCCAGAGTCATAGCAGTCTAAATTTGAATTCTCACTTTATCACTTAATCCATGGGGACCTTGAGCAAGCTGCATAATCTTTGCAAGTCTTGGTTTTCTCATTTGTAAACAGAATGGTAACAAGAGAACCCCTTTCAGATGTGAAAGGTTTAATGAAAAGGTGCATATACCTTGCAAAGCGTAAGGCCTGACTCAGAGTAATTGCTCAGCAACCTGAGTTGTCATTATTTGCACACTTGCCACCTCCCTGCTGATCCCTTCACAGCAGCAGAAATGGGCACAGAAAAAAGGCAGAAAACACCTTCAGCCCTTAAAGCCCTCAGGGAGCCTTTCCACCTGCTGGGATGATGAGGGGCCAGGCCTATCCCCCCATGCCAGGAAGTCCCAGGAACTGTCCCCCCTCCCCGGTGATAAGAAGGGTCTATGGGAGGGAGGAGACAGTAGGAGGGGGAAGAAGGAGGTAACAGATTCTGAATAACTTTTAGAGGCCCCACTTCAGCTGTATTCTCTATCAACCTGGTCTTCCGGTCTAGGATTTGGCCTCAAACAGGGAGGAAGAAACATTCAATCACTCAGTATACAAAGTATCAAATATCTACTATGCACAGGGCCCTGTTCTGAGCACTGGTGAGAGCAGGGAATGAGACCAACAAAAATCCCCGCCTTCTCTGGAGCTCATACTTTGATGGAGGGATGAATGGGTGGATGGATGGCTGGATGGCTGGATGGCTGGATGGACGGACAGACGGACAGATGGACGGACAGACGGATGGATGGATAGATGGTGGATGACTACATTGGCTCAACTTAAGTTACAAGCTCCTACTCTGTGCCAGGCAATGTGAAGAAATGGGAGGGATAATAGTGAGTAATCACATCAGTGCATTCATAGGCACTTCTGTTTGCTGAGTGCTTACAATGTGCTAGGCACTGTGGTAAGCTCTTTCCATACAACGTCTCATTTTACCCTCACCATGCTCCATGAGGTGGGTGTTACAGACAGAGTAGGCAGGAAGGAGGGCTAGGATCAAGTAACTCAGGTCGGTCTAACTCAGAAGGCTGAACTATGTGTATCCAGGTCCCTATGTGAAATGAATGAATGCTGGCATAATAGAAGGATGTTCATGAGCTAGAATGAATGAACCTATGTTTGAACGTTCTCACTTGTGGGCTGGGTTGGTTTCCTTTGCAGGAGTGCAATCCCAGACACAGATGGCCTAGGTGCCAGGGCTGGTGGCCAGGTAGAACCTGACCAGGAAGAAGGACCCTTGGACCTTGAAGAGGATCTCTCTGTGAAGCAGCTGCTAGAAGAAGAACTGTCAAGCCTGCTGGACCCCCACAAAGGTAGTGACTCCCCAGGGTCACCCCAACCCTCCTGACCCCACACACAGTCTGCTCACATGCCCAGTTTTCAGAGTTCTGCTCTAATCCACTACAGGGAAACAAAGTCATTCTGTTTCTGGGGAGGAACATCAGCAACATTTTACTTCTCCTGGAGCTTCAAAAGGTCTTTGTTTAAAGACCAGATTCTACTTTGACTATTCATTTTACAAATCATCATAAGAATAGTGAATGATTACTGAGTTCTTGGTGTGTGCTAGGTACAGGAAACATTGTATACACATTATCTCATTCAAACTTCCAAACAGTCCTTAGAGGTAGAGAGTATGAGGTCCAATTTAGAGATAAGCAAACTGAGGCTCAGAGAGGTAACAGCCTGCCCAGAGTAAACTAGCTCATTAGTAACTGAAGGAGAGTCAACCTGGGCCTGCCTGTCATCAAGAGACTTCCCCTTACCTCTTTGACCACTCCTTTGATTTCTTTGGCATGTTTAAATACCCTTTTACCCTGAGAACCGAATCAATTCTTTAAATGCTAACATTTTTAACCGAAACAAAAATAATTTTTTCTAGAGAAACAATTAGTTGTTTTTTATTTTATTTTTTTATCCTCACCAGAGGACATTTTTTCCATTTTTTATTCAGATAGGGTGGGAGGGAGAGAGAGGAAGAGAGAGAGAGAGAAATATCGATGTGAAAGGGACACATCGATTGGCTGCCTCCTGCATGACCCAACCAGGGCCAGGGACAAACTGCAACCTTAGCAGGAACCAAACCTGGGTCTCTCTAGTCCACAGGCTGACGCTCTAACCGCTGAGCCAAACTGGCCAGGGCTAGTTGGTTTTTTTTAATCCTCACCTGAGGATATGTTTTTATTGATTTTGAGAGAGAGAGAAACATCGATGTGAGAGAGAAACATCCACCAAACTTGCAACCTAGGTATATGCCCTGACCTGGAATCAAACGCACAATCTATTGGCGTAAGGGATGATGCTCCAACCAACTCAACTGAGCCACCCAGCCAGGGCGAGAGACAATTAGTTTTGAAAAGAGGTACAAAACGTAAACTATAATCAAAGAATCTGCTAGCTGCCCCCTCTGCTGTGGACACTGCTCAGCCTCCTTTAGAAACATCCATAGGTCCAACCATCCCTAAGCTGTGGTTTTGTTTCTGTAGTTAATCTGTTTCTCATCTGGACATACCCTGTGTGCTCCATCTGGCTGCAAACACGCTGAAGGCATAGCAGGCACTTCCTTTTCCTTGGTTAAAAAAAAAATAAGGCTAATGTTGACTAAGTGCTTTCTACGTGCTAGTCCCTGTTCTAAGTCCCTCATGAGAAACTCTTATGAGATAGGGACTATTCATTATCCTCATTTCACACAGGAAAAATGTGAGGGGTAGGGGTGTTGAATAAATTTCCCAAAGTTGTGCAGCCAATGGTTATTAACACCGGCGGTGTGGCTCAAAATTAAAATGAAACCTAATTAAAATTAAGTACATGTAAAATGAAAAATTCAGTTCCTTCATCATGCCAGCTACATTTCAAGTGCTCAGTAGCCACATGTGGTTAATGGATATCGCTTTGTACAGCATATATATAGAAAGTGTTATAAGACTGTATTGTCATGTAGAACTGTGAGGTCCAATATATTAGCCACTAACCACAGGTGAAAATGGCTAGTCTGAACTGAGTTGTGATGAGAATATAAAATACACTCCAGATTTTGAGCATTTAGTCTAAAAATAATTTATATCTCAATAATTTTTAAAACATTGATTATGTGATAAAAATGATAAGTATAAAAATAGTTTACAAATTAATTTCACTTTTTTTTTTTACTTTTTGTTTTGTTATGTTTTTTGTTTTTAAATCCTCACCCAAGGATATGTTTCTAACTATTTTCAGACAGAGCGGGAGGGAGGGAGGGGAAGGGAAAAGGAAAGGGAGAGAGAGACAGCGAGAAGGAAAGATACATTGATGTGAGGTTGGTTGTCTCCCACATGACCCCAACCAGAGCTGGGGACAAACTGCAACCGAGGTACGTGCCCTTGACCGGACGTGCCCTTGACCGGAATCGAACCCACAACTCTTTGGTCCTCAGGTCAATGCTCTAACCACTGAACCAAACTGACTAGGGTTCTTTTGACTTGTTTAAGTGTGGCAATTAGAAAATTTAAAATGACCCGTGTAGCTCCTATCTCTGTTGGGCAGCTCTGGGCTAGAACCTGTGGGCTCAGTTCCCACATGGTCCTGCTTCCCCACAGCACAGAGGACAAGAAGCACAGAGGGGATAAAGAGGGCAGCAGGGATGAAAAAGCCTGAGCTGCTCACAGGGCTGGACTTTGATGAGGCTACTGGTGAGTGTGCCTGACATTGGGGTCTTGGCTGCATCAGATAAAAGCTCCACCTGAGGATGTAATGATGGCAATATTTTATTGGTCGCATGAGTTCACTGAATGCTCACAGCAACCCAACAAGATGAGTACTGCTATTTCACTACTTTATGAGAGAGAAAGGCTCAGAGAGGTTAAGCAATTTTCCCAAGGTCACATTGCTCAAAAGCAGCAAAGCAAGAAAATCAAACTCAGGTCAGCCCAGCACCCACCTGCCTCAGAGTGAATTCACCATCACTTTCCAGCCATTCTCATCCACCCCAGTGATTTTCTCATTCCAAGCTTCATTCCTTCGGAAGCTCTCTGACCCTTGTACAAGGAAAGGCCTAATTCTGTAACGCCGAAGGAGTTCCAACCTTATTACCCCAGAGTCTCAAGGAAGTGAGGTTTACATTTCCCAAATGTCCAGGGTTAATATTTATGTTCATTCAATCGTTCAGTGAATGTTCACTAAGACCCAGGCGTGGGCTGGGCCACCTGGGAAGTGGCCTGACCCTGCCTCACAGGCTGCACAGTCCCTCGCTCACAAGGCAAGACTGAGACTCATTTATATCACTATAAACAGCAATTAGCTGTATTTTGAAATAGCTTTTCCAAATTATACAAGCAATATTTAGTTAATGTAGAAAAATGTAGATAAAAAGAAGATAAATCACTTCTGCCCAGGATAATTTCAGTTAACACTTTGATGTACCTCCTTCCAGGTTTTTATTCTATGTACAGACTTTCTCTTTTTTATTTTTATTGATTTATTGGGGTAACATTGGTTAATGAAAGTATATAGGTTTTTCTCTGGCTGGTTTGGCTCAGCAGTTAGAGCGTTGGCCCACAGACCAGAGTCCTGGGTTGGATTCCGGTCAAGGGCACATACCTGGGTTTTGGTTCGGTCCCTGGCCCTGGTCAGGGTCATCTGGGAGGCAACCAATTGATGTGTCTCTCTCACATCGATGTTTCTTTTTCTCTCTATCCTCGCCCCGACACTATCTGAAGATAAATGGAAAAATATCCTTGGGGGAGGATTAAAAAAAAATTATATAGATTTTAGGTGTACAATTCTATAATACATCATCTGTATAGTGTATTGTGTGTTTACCACCCGAAGTCAAGACTCCTTCCATCACCATTTATTCCTCCCTTTACCTTATTCTACTCCCTCCACCCCCTTTTCCCTCTGGTTATCATCATATTGTTATCTGTTTCTACAAGTTTTTTTTCCTTAATCTCTTCACCTTTTTCCCCCTCCTCTCTGACAGCTGTCAGTCTGTTCTCTGTCTCTATGAGTCTATTTCTATTTTGTTTATTAGTTTATTTTGTTCATTAGATTCCACATATAAATGAGAGCATATGGTACTTATCTTTCTCCGAATGGCTTATTTCACTTAGCATAATGCTCTCCAGGTCCACCCATGCTGTAGCAAAGGGTAAGATTTCCTTATTTTTTACGGCCTAGTAGTATTCATTTGTGTAACTATACCACAGCTTTTTTATCCACTTATCTACTGCTAGACACCTGGGTTGATTCCAAATCTTGGCTATTGTAAATAGTGCCACAATGAACATAGGGGTGCATATCGAATTAGTATTTCAGGTTTCTTCGGATATATTCCCAGAAGAGTATTGCTGGGTCATAAGGCAGTTCCATGTTCAATTTTTTGAGGTACCTCCATACTGCTTTCCACAGTGGCTGCATCCATCTGCATTCCCACCAACAGTGTGCACAGACTCTAAAGCAGCTCACGTTAAGCAAACATTAAATACATGTTAAAGTAGATGTGCTTTTTTTTTTTTTAAGACAGTTTCTTAGCCACAGGACATTTCTTTCCTCTGCTTGACCTCTACCATCAGGCCTGGGACTAGGTTTTGAGATGGGAAAGGTGGAGCGTGATGGTGGCGTTGCTGATCCAGGACACAGTTTTTTACTGCCCCTGTCCCTTTTCTGGGACAGCCCCTAGAGAGCCAGCCCCTTCCAGCCTGCCTCTAGGACAGGGTTTCCTGTAGCTGGAGAGCATGGGGCCCAGTGGTGACAGAGTCCACCTTAGCAGGCCTGGGAATGGCAGAGGCCACAGGTAGGCACCTGGAGCATCCAGGCAGAGGGGCCAGATCTTCAGAGTGGACGCGGTGGTGCAGTCACAGGGGGCTTCAAGGTCATCAGACCTGGGGTCAAATCTGGATTTGATTGCCCAGTATATATGTGACTTAAGTTCTTAGAACTTTATAGTTTTCTCATCCATAAAATGGGGTAATACTCTTGACTTCAAAGGTTGTGTGGAGGTCCGATGAGGTAATTATGTACACCGCTTGGCACAGCAACACTTAACAAGTAGTCACTCTTGTGCATACGAAGAGAAGGTAGCACTAAGCCAGAAACTCTGGCCTTCGCTAAGAAAAGGGACTTTGCCCCCGTTCAGTGGTGGGCCTGGCTGTAAGAAATGGATGAAAGACACCTAGACCTGAAACACTCCACCGACCCAGACATTCTTTAGAAACAGGCCTATTTCTAGTTCTAGGCCTTCCTCCTGCCTCCTCCCCTCAGCTCGTAGGCAACTTCAGTCAGCCACCTTCCTGCCCTGTGAGCTTCCCTGTCAGGGCCTCTTCCTTCCTGGCCCCCTCTGGCTACCCCATCTGTCCCCTGCCATTTCCCTTCCCTTCTTTGTTCAGTGCCCTTTCCCTGCCCATGTCCCACCCTCGTCCATCCTGCCCTTCTGTGGGCCCTGCCCTCACTATGTCCTCTCCTCCCCCCGCAGGCCTGGCCCTGGACCGGCTAAGTGCCCCAGACCCAGCCTGGATGGCCAGGCTCTCTTTGCCCCTTGCCACCAACTACCGTGACAATGTGTTCTCCCCGGACACTGCGGCCTTGGAGGAGCCGAGGACCTTCCAGACATTTGGCAAGGGGTCGGGGCCGGAGCTGAGCCCCACGGGCACGCGGCTGGCCAGCACCTTCCTGTCGGAGATGAGCTCACTGCTGGAGATGCTGCTGGAGCAGCGGGCCAGTGTGCCCATGGAGGCCGCCTCCGAGGTGCTGCGGCGGCTCTCCGTCTGCGGGAGGACCCTCAGTCTAGACCTGGCCACCAGTGGGGCCTCAGGCACGGACGTCCAGGGGGGCCCAGGAGGAAAGAAAGGGGCCGAGAGCAGGACCAGCAGCAGCAGAGGCAGCAACAGCAGCAGCAGGGGCCTGTGGATCCAGGAACCAGGGGCCCTGGGAGATGTTAAAGAGCCCAAGCCCTGAGGATCCTCGGACATTTTCTGGTTTCCAGAACTCAGTGTTGAACTTACTGAGCAGAGGCAGCTTGAGAACTTTAAGGTGACTGATACTGCCCCACAGAGGGAGCGGGGGCCCAAGGTCTAACGGCTGGCTCACCAAAGCAGCCCTTGTTAGAAGCTAGCTCTGCCTCCGAATGTTTTGGAGGATGGGGATAGTTTATGGCTAAGATAAGTGTTTGCTGGCAAAACACATGTAGAGCACAGAGGGCTGGTCCTCCAGCAGAACAGATGGCAAGGAGTGTCACAGTGGGATAGGGTAGCCTTGCTGCACCCTGGAAGATGGGGGGGCTGGATCCTGGGGTGCCAGGCAGAGCTCTCTGACCTACTAATAAAGGAAAAGCAGTGGCTTGTTGTCCTGTTTGCACCTCTCAGGAGGGAGGAGTAACAGAGTGATGGTTCTGTGTCACCTACTCCCTGTCAAGAGGGTCATGAGGGCCTGGACAGGCGTGGGGCACATTGGTGCACAGTGTTAGGTACACAAAAAGGGACATGTGCACTGTTGACCCTATGCCTCTATTGCTGCCGTATCTAATAATCCGCTTCTCAGCTGGAAAATTTGGGCTAAGAAAAGCGTGACTATTTATAGAGCATTTACAGGAGCCAGGCACCAGGCCTACAACAGAATTTAATTAATAATTTCTCGGCAATCTTGAGAGGGAGGTGTTATCATCCCCACTTCACGGACAAGGATATGTGTCTTGGAGAGGCTGAGGGTCTTGCCCAAGACCAAGCAGAGAACAGAGGCAGAGCCAGGATTTGGAGCCAGGTTTGTCCAGCAGCAAAACCCATGCCCTTGACCTTGACACTAGATGCCGGCCAAGGAAAGGAACGGAAAAGCCCCCATAGTTGAGCGTTAGCCAGTAGTGGTCTTATCTGAGCTCCCTTCCAGAGACACTGCTGAAGAGAGTATTTCCAAAGCTGCTCAGGCCTTCACATCTTTCTACTTCAAGCCCAGAGTGAAAGGGACTTGGACCTGACCTGACACAGGCCTGGGCCTCTGCAGAATTCTGTTCTTTCCCAGTGAGCAGCCTTTCAGGTACAGAAGTCACCTTTCCACCATTCGTAGGTAAATCTTCCTCTGTCACAGCAGGTTTGGGCCTGTGAATTCAGGCGCGAGAGGAGTGTGTGTGAACCGGCTCCGTGAAATCCACACCGACAGCAGCAAACCTTCCAGCAGAGGAGGGGGTGAAGAAACAGCAAATATTTTCCTGAGGCTCAGCCTTATCATTTTCCTGGAAAATTCCAAGCTGTTATTCAGCTAGCTTCTCAATAGCATGGGGCTCTCCTGGACACTGAAGGCAAAAATTCCTCCTTTTGTCCTCCTTTGGAGCTCAGTACTCATGTTCACTGTCCACATAAATGGGTCCTTAATACTCCTAATTAGGGCGAATGCAATCCACACATCCTTAGAGTGCAGTGTGGCATCATTATTCCATTGTTCTATCTTACAGATGAGGAAAATAAGCCCCCAAAGCTAAGTGTTTCGGGAGTAGGGTCTCTGGGTCTCTGATCACCTCACTCAAGGCAGAGTAATTTCTTTACAAGATCTGTAATTTTCAAGCTGTTGGGTTCCCATCAATGACAGAAGGTAGGGTGACAAAGCAGGCAGGGTCTTCAGCACAAAGCATGATGAATATACTCACCGAATGAATGAATGAATGAATGAATGAATGAATGAATGAATGAATGGAAGAAAAATGCCTCAGAGCTCCCTTTTGTCTATTTTGGAGCTCCAGAGAAGGCTCTATTAGGAAAAACGAAAAGGGCTCCATATGTGAGAGCAAGCCTGCAAACCACAGCACTAGACAGTGCTGACCTCCCACTCACGAGGGGATTTCAGTGCGGAGCTGACGTCGGGCAGGTGGAGAGAAGAGATGGGGGGAGGAGGTGACCCGAGGAACCTTGAACCATGGCTGGCAACTGGATCATTGAATATATTGGGTCACTGCCTCCTTCTCGTTCACAAGTCCTAAAGCTGTAGTCCTTGGACCCCCCCGAACACCAGGCAAAAGTTCATGTATAGGCATTTTTCTAAGTAGAAGATACAAAGTTCTCATGAGGTTCTCAAAGGAACATGTGACCTATAAAAGGTTGTGCAGCACTGCTCTAAGTTACGATCTAAACCTCCACAGACACGGGTAATTTTAGTTATAAGGAGTCTGAACATTTTATAGCAAGGAAATGGCAGGACAGAAAAGGCTGACTGGCCCAAAGCCATGTGGCAGGTTGGTGGCAGGGCTGGGATCTGGAACTGGGATTTAGTATGATGTTCATTCTAAAATATCAAGGGTTCTTAACCTGGGGCCCTTGGGTGGGCTTCAAGATCTAAGAAACTGCTGAACTGCTTGTAAAATTAGGAGGTGCATGCTGCTGTAGGAAAGAATCAGTGCTTTTATCAGATTCTCAGAGGCTGTGACCTAAATAAGGTTAAGGACCACTGCAGTCCTCTAGGTTGGTCCTCAGTGCTGCCTTCCCCGCAGAGTCTGGAGAACTCGTGGGCAGAGCTATTCTGCGGCACCCGACCTATGCCCAGGGTGGGGGTGCAGGTACTGAGGGTCGTGCTCTCGCCTCCACCATGGACCCACTCCTACAGCGCTCATACCAGTGCATGTGGTGACAGAACTGAGGGCTGAACAGGAAGGTCGCAGAAACTTCTTGACATCAGCCAAGATGTCAAAGCTGAGACTTTGGACATGCTCAGAACCAAGAAGGGCTCTGCCCCCTGGGAGACCGAAGGAGCAGGCGAGCCAGAGAGCACTCAGTTAAATGTCGTCTTAATTTGGAAAGCACAGAGGGACATTTTTTTTTTTTTTATCAACAGTCAGCCGTTCTCCAGCACCCGGAGTGGAATGCAGTGCTCACTCGGAGCCTGGGGGCAGCTCAGATTGACAGGCAACCTCCCTGTCTGTCACCCAACTTCAGCTTGGCAGCTCAGCCCGATGACCCTACCTCTCCTCTGGCAGAAACCACCACCCTTGGGATGCTGGAGAGAACCAAATCCCAAAAAGGAAAAGACAGGAGTGGGGAGGCTCAGCTGGGCGCACAGTGTGTACCTAGGAACTAGGTCTGCATTTTCCAGCTCCTACTAAGTACTGGGTACAATATAATGGGTGGGATGAGGAGGGAGGCAGGATCAGAAACACCCATTCAACAAACATTTTGTATTTGTTGAGCAATTACTATGCATCAAAAGTAACACTGGGGTATACAGAATCAATCCCTTTAACAAATATTTAGAGCACCTACTAGGCAGGCTTGATGTTGGGTGGATAAGGGGTAATGCGCAGAATCACTCATTCACGGAATATTTACTGAACATTGTGCTAACATTGAGGATACAATGAACCAGAGTCTTGTTCCCACTGTAGCATCAGGGCTCCTGAAAACAGCATCTCCGGATAAGGACACTGAGGCAGCAGAGCCTTGCATGGAGGTCTCACTGCTGAGGGCACCAAGCCCTAAACCTCAGGTCATCAGTATCCTGACCCAGCCTGGCCCTGCTGACAGGGGCCACCTCCCTGTCCTCCCCTCACATTTCCTTCCAGGGCCCTGACAATGAGTCATTAATAACGGAATTTTAATGGCAAAAGCACAGCGGTTCTGGGTCTGTGGCTGAGCCCATCCCCTGGGGCTGTGTGGAGACCGCAGTGACTAAACAGCCAAGGATTTTTGGTCCCTTGACAACATTTCTCTCACGATTCTCCCATTCTTCCCTCTCCACGAGAGCTTAAACATATCCACCTCCATGTTTGGCACCCCAAACTGAATCAGTACTTAATTTGTAATGGCTGAGGGGGCAGGAGGGCTGCATCAGGCCATCACCACAGGACACCTGGTGTCCCTGGACAGTCTGAACTGCCCTTTGGCCCCAGGCGTGTTCAGGAGGAAGTGGTCATCAGAGAACCCAAAATGACAACAGGAGGGGAAGAGGTGGCGAGCAGGGCTCTGAGACAACCAGAAGTGACGATTTCCACAGAGGGTGCCCCCCAGAGGCTCATGGGCAATCTGCAGGGAGCCAGCTCTGCTCAGCTCCACGCGGGAAGCATTGGGTTAACCAAGTTCTTTACTGCAGGACTTCTTGGAACCTTGAATATGCTGATGTGCATTGTGAATCTATAAAAAGGGGATGTCTTGTGTGGTGCTTCCCAAACTTATTTGACCACAGAAACCATTTTTTTTTTTTTTGTGCAGAGAGATTAGTGCACAGCTTAAAACCCTGAGCTTTAACCAATGTATACATTGAGCCTCTACCGACACAGGGAGTCGTGCTAAGTGCTGAGGATACTGAAATACAAAGAAGACAAGGTCCCTGCCCCGACGTGAGGGCAGGGTGAGGCCAGTGTGCAGGGCAGCCCTGGAAAGGCAGCAGGGGGCAGGGGAGGCCCTGGAGCCAGAGGACGCTTAGGGCTTCAGCGGTGACAGGAAAGTGTGACAGGACCACCAGAGGTTGGGGACAGGGGCGAGCAGCAGAGAGGGATTGTGGACACCCCTCCCAACGCCTCCCACCTTCGAAATGGCCAAGCTGGGTGGTCTTTCTCGTTGAACAATCACTAGGGGTTTTGGTCCTCAGTCCCTCCCATATCCCACTCTCTACCACATCTATGCTATTGAACTTGGGCTAACATCCAAAAGCCAGGGCACAGCTATTCACAAATTCAGTAATTGGAGTCATTAGCGTTGACTCAGAAATCATTTTTTCTAAGTCTCTCTCTCAGAGAAGCTTTTAAGACCCTTTAAATTGGTTAATGGAAAGTTTAGAGCCGAGAATGGAGCCTCGGCTTTCAGCTCCCCGGCCCGTCTCCCTGGCTCTCCCCAACACACTCAAGGACAGAGTGATGAGATAATCCCGTATCTGTTTTATTTAACTCCCATCCATTTCTGGCACACCCTTCACAAACGAAGATCTCAAAATCCACACTCCTGCTCCCAGAGTCCAGGTGCTCGATCTCCATTCACTCCCTGGCATGGGCAGGATGATCAAAACGCTTTCACGTAAAATTACAGCGTGGACGGTGCAGAAGAGCCCTGGGCCAGGGGCCAGGAGGCCTGGGTCCTCTCCTGCCTGGTGACTCATAAAAGCCATGTAAACACGGGCGTCACTGCCTCAGGCCTTCATGAGCACCAAGGTCCTTTCCACCATTAAATGCCCACATCGGCCCTGTAGGGTAGGAGGGCAGACACTATTGCCCTTGGTCACCAGCTGAGGAAGCAGCTCAATGAGTCGGGCTACTCACTGCTTCAAGGTGACATGGCCAGAACCTGGGTCTTCACACACTTTCCTCTTCCTTACTGTGCTGGGGCAGGTACCTAAGGTTCTTTGAGAAGGTGGGTGGATAACTGGCCTCTTCTTTTAGATTCAAGTTGTGGTATCTCTCTGAGAACCCACAGGCTCCATCTTCAGGGCTGAAGTGAGAAGGTCTGAAAAATGTCAAGCAGATAGATACATCAGGCATTTAGGCAAGACACTCCTTACTTCCGAATCAGACTCATGAATCCAGTGGAGATGGACAAAACCAAACTGATGCTGTGTTCCCTGAGTTCCAGCCGTTCATGGAACCACCTCCGGATTTTTGGATCTGTTCTCCCTTTATGCAGTGTCACGATGTTCCCCCCTTTTTTTTATCTTCATCCGAGGACACTTTTCCATTTTTTGTTCAGATAGAGTGGGAGGGAGAGAGAGGAAGAGAGAGAGAGAAACATTGACGTGAAAGGAACACAACGAGTGGCTGCCACCCGCATGACCAACCAGGGCCGAGGACGAACTACAACCAAGGTACGTGCCCTTAGCGGGAACTGAACCCGGGCCTCTCTGGACTGCAGGCCGATGCTCTAACCGCTGAGCCAAACTGGCCAGGGCTCCCCCTTTTATTAGGGAGAGAGTAGAAGGAAGGGAAGGGGAGAGAGAGAGAGAGAGAAACTTTGATATGAGATACATCGATTGGTTGCCACCCGTACACGCCCCTGACCAGAGCCAGGGACTGAACCTGCAACCCAGGTACATGCCCTTGCCCAGGAATCAAACCCATAACCATTCGGTGCATGGGCTGACACTCTAACCACTGAGCAACAGGCCAGGGCACAATGTTTTCCTTTAACTTGATTCACTATTCTCAATGTCTGTGAAACTGCAATATGCTAGTCACATTTTTACATTATATATTAAATATACAACTACTGAAATAAAAACCATTAATTTGAGTGCCACCTAAAATCCTCTTATGAACCACCAGACACACATGTATCAGATGCTGGCAAAAAATGATGTCGTCTAAGCTTGAGGAAACTCTGGGGAGAGAGAAGGTAACTGATTTGCTCAAACACAAAGGCTGAGGTGAGGACCAGGGTCTTGGACCCTTCAGTCGTTTTTCACAGGTCACTGAATGAATCCTTTTTGTGCACAGATCAGAAATGCCTGTAATGTATCCACTGCTCATCTGTGAAACTACCAACTGGGGGGAAAGGTCAAAGTCATTTATTAGCCATGCGCTTGAAATTGCTTGAGAACCTGGCTCCCGCTGGAATTTCCACCCTGGAAAGGGACTGACATCTATTTTTGTCATCCAACTTCCTTCATGCCCTCCCCCACCCAGCACCAGTGACTGTGTTTGAGCTCACCTTAGCCAAAACCCAGTCTGACGAGATTCTTTTCCAAGGGGTAGGAGTGTGGGGGGCCAGCCCTGCTGGGGGGCCTGGGGCTGGCTCCGAGATGGCCGCTTCTACAGAGGAGGCCAAGGCTCCCCGTGCTCCAGGCATGTGGGAGGCGGGAGGCTCCTGCCAGCAGGGTGTTCAGGTTGCAGAGGGAGGGGCTGGAGAAGGACTTCAGTCCTGTGACTGCCAGGTCCTTGGGCCCCAGGGCTGCGAGGAGAGGAGAGTAACTCTTAACTCATGCTGTATTCCTGGATTCCTACTTTGGAGCAAGGACTTCTTAAAGGACTCAGTTCCCCCCGGCACTGTTAACCCATGCCAGCCCGAGTGACTCCTGGTGCGCAGGCTCTCAGAGCCCTAGAAGGGTAATCCAGGCGCTGAGGCAGCCTCGGGACATTGTCTCTCCTGGAAAAATCACCAGAGCAGCTGCCATTTAATACCTGCCGTGTGCCGGGTGGTGCTAAGCCCTTCATAGTCATCTCACTTAATCTTTACAATCACCGAATGAGTCAATATTACTAGTACCTTCATATTCAAGTGAAGAAACTGAGACTCAAGGACATGGAGTCCAAGTTCAGTGAGAGCGCAGGGGTTACAATAGGTTTGTCTGACTCAAAAGGCTATGCTCTTACCCACCACTGGGGCAGGACATGACAAGGAGACCGAGAGCTATTGCCAACCCCTTCTCTGTCACAGGTACTGGGCTCAGCGGAGGGACCCTGTGGGCTCTGACTTGCATCAGTACCTGCCACCTCCATGGAAAAGAGGGTCTGCAGCCTGTCCTGGGCTGGCTCATTCCCCAGAGCCGCTGACTGCTGGTAACACCTCACAGCCTCTCCCAGATTCCTCTGCACGCCAAGGCCCTTCTCATAGCAAATTCCCAAGTGGTATCTGCTCTGTGAGTCCTAAAGGAGAAAACGGACAGACACAGCGATGCACACACAGGCTGGATTGAAGAATGGAAATGCTCAGGCAGGAGGAAGGCGAAGCAGTCTGCATGCTGGGCTTTCATCTACACAGGTCAAGACCCAGGGCTGGCCCTCCCTAGACCTCAGGATCTCAACCGTGAAAAGCCAGAGCCCTGGGGATCCCTCCCCTAAGGGAGAATCCAGCTGGAGCAGTGAGTAAGCTTCTCTCTCTGAGGCTGGTGCTGGAAGTACACAGCCATGAAGGCCGCAGGGAGCACAACATACATTACAGAGGAAGTGTTTCTCCTCCTTTGAAAGGTTAAAAGGCTGGCCCCTTCGCCCAGGGTTCGAGATCCTCTCTCTCCACTCACTGAGAACTGTCCTGGGGGAGGCAGTATCAGATCGGGTTAGAAGCCCAGGCTACCAGCTGTGTAACCTCAGACATATTAGCTCACGTCTCTGTGCCTCAGTTTCCACATCTATAAAGTGGGTATAATAATGGCACCTGCCTTATTACATTGTTGTGTGGATTAAATGTGTTCATATATGAAAAGTGCTTAGCTTAGTGTTATTATTTTCATACCATGAGTTGCCCGCATCATTCATCTCTCCCTCTCTACTGGAATTTTTTCATTATATTCAATCTTCCAACTTAAAAAACAAAACAGTTGGTTGATTCCCAATGGTCCACTTTCTCTTCTACCTTCTACAGTTAAATTTCTGGAAGGAGTTTCTACAACATGCAGACCAAAGTCTATGCAATATTTATGGTGGACTCATGGCTCCAGGCTGGCTCCAGGCTGGCTTAGAACACAGCACTGGATCGTTACAAGGCCAGACAGCCACCCTACAAGTGTTCAGCACACACCTAGGAAGACAAAATTCCTAGTGGAGTGGGTGAGTGTGAGACCCGACAGCCCTTTGTGCATTTCTCCTCCTAGCACGCTGAGTGACTACAGCAGGCCAGGGGCCCCACTTGTCCAACTCTGGGATGTGAGGCCCACCCAGCCCAGGGAAGGCTGCGGCTCTTTCAAGAAAAGACAGGCACAGATGACAGTACTGGTTGATGACACCAGTCCCTTTCAAAGGCTAAGACAGATATTTTGGGCAAAACGGAGTGAAAAGGGGCAAGTATTCTGATGTCAAAAGTTCAACGAAGCTATCAGCATGTTGGGCCAGAAAACAAAGAGAAGCCGCGTGCCTATGCCGGGAAATGCTCGTCCGTGCACACTGCCTGCTTTTACCCAGTGCTCCTGGGCTTCCAGATGCAGCACAAAAATCTACTGGTCAAATACACTTAAGGAATACAGCAAACCACAGAAGCCTTCTCGGTGACACACAGTGACCAAAAGCTCTGAGACTTCCTGCATTAAAGATACATATTTAATTCAGTATTTCCCCAACCCAAATTTCCTCATTACTTATCAACATCCCATGAAACAAATGCTCTGTGGGACAAACTCTGGGTCATGCTGCCTGTATGCCAATGCCTACAGTTCACAACCAGACACCCCCTCCCCCCCCAGCAACTGCCCAGGGTCTTCACTTCACATGTCTTCTGAATCCCCTGGACAACATGTGTAACAATGCACATCTTGTGTCTACAACTGACAAAGTGCTTTCACACCTGTTATCTCAGTCAGATTCTGATCCTCACAACAACCCTGTGACAGTTATTATCCCTATTTCAGAGACAAGGGAACAGGTTTAGATCAACAAGTGACTGGCCCAATAGTGTGCTGGTTATGTTTAACGACTGGCTCTCCGGGGGGAAAGCCCTGCTCTGTAGCGTTTAGCAATTTCTATGGTGCATATCCTCCTAGCATAATTGATCTGACACCTCCAGCAGCTCTCGCACACTGGTTCGAGCCAGCTCCAGCGCACGACTGGACCTGTGCAAAGGTCAGCGAGAGTCAAGGTTTCAAGCTGGCTCAATACTCCGATCAAAAGGTCCCCTAAACCCAAATGAACTTGGTACCAGTTCCAAAGTCCCTTCTTTTATCAGAGTCGATGCGCAACATGCCTGGATACCGGAGAACTCATACCCCATTGTTCGCAGCAAGCCACAGATATTTCACAGCTCCCTGCTCATCCAGGTATGGCTCCTTGGTGAAAAGCACCCCGAGGAAAGCCTGGGCCTGTGGTCGAGAAGGAAGAACATATTATGGTCACTGCCAGGCCCCACATGCCCCAGGTGCCCAGGAGAGACCTCAGCCATGGCACGCACCTCTCTCAAGCCTGAGTCCGCAGCCTGCTTCAGCATGGACACCGCCTTCTGCCGCTCAGGGTCCCCCCAGGAGGCAGAGTCTTGTAGCAGGCACCTGGCATAGCGGTACTGAGCCAGGCTGTGGCTCTGGCTGGCAGCCAGCTGGTAACAAAGGACTGCCTGGGGCAAAGGGAGAAGCGCTGTCACTGTAAGCCGGCTTTTCCTTTGAGTGAAATTTTAAAAAATTATTTTAATTAAGTAATACATAATCATTATGGATTAGTCAGAAAATGCAGATAAGCCAAAAAATTTTAAATACAGATAAAATGAAAAACAGAAACATACAATCCCAAGAAATCCTGCCTCCTAAAGATCATTGTTAACATTTCAGTGTATAGCCTTGCGAATTTCTTCATGTATGTGTTTACATACATACACATATACATTGTATATATTCACACACATAAATGTGTGTACAGGGAGAGAGGGAAAGAGAACTACACTCACTATTTTGTGACCTATTTCTTCATATAACAATACACCATGAATGTCTTTCCTTGCCAATATATATAGATCTAGCAGGTTTTTTTGTTGTTTTTTTTGTTTTTGTGGTTAATTCTCATCCAAGAACATTTCTTTCTAGAAAGAGTGGAAAAGAGGGAAGGAGTGGGAGAGAGAGAAACACTGATGTGAGAGAGACACATCGATTGGATGCCTCCTGCACGTGCCCCGACTGGGGCTCAGGAACAAACCCAGGTGTATGCCCCTGACTGGGAATCAAACCTGAGACCCTTCGGTGCACAGGCCAACACTCTAACCACTGAACCATCTGGTCAGGGCTCAAGCACGTTATTTTTAAGGCCCACATAGATGTAACTAATCAATTCTCTATTGAGGAAACTTCAGGTTGCTTCCCTTTTCTTTGCCATCATATACAAATAACCCGCTCACCAAAGTAACACTGTAGGCTCTGAGGATACAGCTGCAAAGAAGAGAGACCAGGGCCTTGGCCTGCCTGAGCTGGGAGTCTAAATTCCTAGATGTTAGAGTTTTTTAAAAATGTTTTCCACACGGCTAGGAGAGACTGGCCTTTCCTCAGGCCCTGCCCAGTGCACATTTCTGGAGGTCATTCCGGGCCTTGCAGAACAGGGAATAGGTCTGGTGGCAAGAGAGGAGGGGTGGTACCTTGCCAAGGTCCTTGGGGGTGCCTCTGCCATACTCGTGACACAAGCCCTCGTTGTACTGTGCTTTGCTGTAGCCCTGCTCTGCCGCTTTCTGGAAGTAGGAAAATGCTGCTGTGTGGTCCCCATTCTTCATGCTCTCTGTCCCTGTAAGAAAGCACGAGGCATAAACTTCCCCACATCCTCAGCCAGGTGCCCACAGGCTTCTTCCTTTCTTTTTTTGTGCTGGACATTTGCATATATTTCCATCCTCTGACTATTTCACTGGTTTGCCAGGCACATCATTGGGTTCTGCCCTGGTCTGCACCATCCTCTTGGCAATAGTATTCCCGATTTCCCTTTGAAAACAACCTTCCCCCCAGTGCTGTCAATCAACGTGCCTCCTCTCTTCCTAACCAATGAGAACCTCCCTTGAGAATCAGACTCTTGATGTGCTTGCAACAGGAGAGGGGAAAAAAACAAAAAAACAGCTTCTGCAGGTTTATTCTGAGGACAGCATTTTGAAGACATTACTCTTTACTGCCCCCTGGGTCCCTGGCGCTTCCCTGATTCCTGTCCTTTAAGAGGCGTGGCAGGTCAAGAGGTCTCGGGAGATTCCTTTTGTGTTTAAGTTAGCCAGACTGAGTTTAGGCTGTTTGTAACCAATACAACCTGACACACCTGATACTGTTAATGTTGCTTTGTGAAGACACTGTGAGAGAGAACACAAGAGAGCAAAGACCTGAACTCAGGTGTGTCCAGTTCCCAAGCCCATGTTCTTTCATCCTCCAAACAAAAAGGAGAACAGGAGAGGGGCTGGTCACAGCCAATTCTCAGTGCTAAGCCTTTGCTCAAGCTGTTGCTCCTGCCTGGGATAGCTTTTTCTGCTTCCACCGTCAGGCCTTGGCATCCTCTTTCTGCTCTAGAACCTGCAGACCACACTCAGGCTTGAAACGCTTTCTTGGCACTTACTTAATATAAAAGCCCTTTTCTCCGAACTAAACTGTTTCAAGAGTATAAGCCCTGTCTCCTCAATTAGACTGTAAAATCCTGGAGGCAGAAGCAGAAAAAGAATGTAGAAGAAATAACTTTGCATAGGGTGAAAGCTCTATACAAATGCAAACTATGATTATGGCTTATGCTCCTTTTGTGTTCTGTCACAATGCTTAGCTCTTGCTGAATAAATGAATATGTGAATGAAAGAATGGGGAAGAAAATTCTCAGAAGAGACTGTATGCCCATCAAAATCACAAAAAGCTAATGAGGTAGAAGCTAGGGTGCATTCTGCCAGCAGTGAATTGAAGTCGCCTCCCTGCTGCCTGAAAACTCTCTGTCCAGGATTCACAGAGTCCTTGTCCTTGAGAAGGCTTAAGAGGACAAAGGATCCCACCCTGTCCCCATTCCCCACACTGGCTCTATCAACACACTCTGATCCATCCACTCTTCTATCTCCACTGCCTCTAACCTAGACCCAGCCACCATCACATTTTGCTTAGTCATCGGTAATAATGAAACCCAGTCTCCTGGTCCCTGTTCCACATCTGTCTACACAACAGCCAGGAAGATCTTTAAAGAGGTAACTCAGATCATATGATTGCCCCTCTTCCTGCTCCAGTGTAAAACCCTCTAATGGCTTCCTGTCTCACTTAGAAAATCCACACTCTGTACCATGGCTCAGAAAAGCTCACTTAATCTAGCCCCTGCCTGCTTCTCTGACTTCACTCTCCCCATGATCTGTAAGCTCCAGACACACTTACCTTTCTTTTGTTCCTCTAAAAAGCAAAATAAATCTGGCCTCAGGACCTTTGCACTTGCTGTTGGCCTCTACTCGAAAAGTTCTTTCTCCAGATGGAAACAAGGCTGACTTGTTTTTGTTCATCAGATCTCAGTTCAAGGATCTTCCCATCAGTGTGGACTTCTAAGTCAAAAGTTGTTCCTTGCCCAGATGAACACATTCCCCTGTTTAATTTTCTCCATACTTTTATCACCATCTGAAATTCTCTCTTTGCCAATTTAATGTTTTTCTCTCCCTCAACTCACATGTTAGTTCCATGAGAGTAAAGACTTTGTCTTGTGAAACCCTATATCCCCAACACCTAAAATAGGGCTGGGCAAAAGCTGAATGCTCACTAAATTTTCTCTGAATCAATCCCAGCCTCTCACCCACCTGGCCCAGTAGACTCCAATAGATGTGGCTGGGAGTCTGGGTCTCCACGTTGGAAGGCCTGAAGTTAAGCCAAGTCACTCTGGAAACCAGGACAGATGGTGGAGGGGCAGGTGGAGTCTCCAGATGTGGGTAAGAAGTTCCTATCCATGCATTTGAGAACTTGCTCCAAACCCCAGGAGCCTGTTCTTGCCCATGTGTGGCAGAGAAAGCAAGGTTTCTCCAAGATTTATTTTCTCCTTATATAGTGGCAGAATTTTCAGGAAGGCATATGGTCATTCAGCTAAAGACTACACTTCCAAGTCTCCTCTGTGACTAGGGGTGGCCATAAGCCTACCTTCTGGACAATGATTTGTGCAACTTCTCAGTCATGTCCTTAAAGGGAAGGAGTGGCCCTTTAGCTTTCCCATCTTCCCCCTTCCAGCTGACTAAAATATGGACATGAGAGCAGGAGTCAGAATAGCCAAATAGGACCTCAAGGAGCCAGTTCTAAGAACGGCAGAGAGGTCTGGATGAGAATGGATCCCTGACGCCACTGTGCCACCATGCCAGATTTGGTCTACCTACTTGGGAGAAAACAAACTCTTTGTGGTTTAAATCATTCCCTACCCTGACTCTATTTGACCTTTTCTATTTCCCATTTCCCCATCAGTCTGCCTTGAGGCAGGGTCCACCCAGTTACCCAGGAAGTTGAAAGCGATGGAAACACTGAGTTGGAAGAGCTGCTGAATGGCGGTCACTGCCTCCTCGAGAGAACGTGTTTTTGATTTATCTTGTTCCTGGGGAAGAAATAACAAAGACTCATCATGGGAGGGTTCAGTGGGATTGCCACCTGCCCAGGGCAATGTTAGAAAGATCCAGGTGGCCAAATCTGGACAATACCTGCTTTTCACCAGTGGGCTGAGGCTGGGCTGGCTTTGCCTTGGAGCTGAAGCTACTGCTGGCATGCAGGAAGCCGATATTACTGGGATCTGCAGGGGAAATGGCCGACAGCCAGCCAGGGCAAAGGGGAAAGTGTTATTTCTCCTTTTCTCCCACTTTCCCAGTCTCCCAGCTCCTCCATCAAGCAGCACTGCCAGGAACCACAGTAATCTGAACTACCCCAAGAAACATGGGGCCTCACAGAAATGACGAGTCCCTTACCTGGCACATACAGCAAGAAATGTGTGTCTACTCAACTCCCCACCCCCTGCCTTCTGCTGATTCTAGGAGGGGGGGACATACCTTCGTCAGAGGGATCCTGAAGACCAGCTGCTCTCAAGGGGCCGTGTGAAGAGAGGCTCTCAGGCTGAGTGGAGGGTGCTTCCCGGCCTGGCCTGGGTTCCCTGCGGCCCGTGTGCCTGGGAGCTGGGCTGTCAGGGCTGGGGAGAACGTGCCTCCGCAGCGCTGGAAAGAGCCAGCAATAGCAGTCACATCAGGAGGGGATCAGCACAGCCTGCTAGGGCTTGACTGAGTCCTCCCTGAAGTTTTGGGAACCAAAGGAAGAATTTGGAAACTCCTGTGACACCTCCTCCTTCATTTCCTTTGCTGGCTTCCCTCCACATGGGTTTAGAGGTGCCCACATGTATGCTGATCTCCTGCCCTACGCATAGATCACTGTTCTGCTTGAATTCTTCCAGTGGCAAGGAGGTGTCACTGTTGTAGCCCTAGCACCTAACACCTTTGTTGGATGGTAATACTGATAATGATACTATCATAACAATAAGGACAAGAAGTTAAACTAACACTGAGCATTTACTATGTGCCAGGCACATAGTCCTTGACATATATTAATTCATTTAGTCCTCCCAATAAATCTATGGGGTGAGGTTTATTATTGCCCCGTTTTATGGATGAAGAAATAGGCATAGGGAAGTTTAAAGTGACTTGTCCAGGGACCACAAGACTAGTATACAGCAGCTCTGGGGCCTGAATCCCAACAGTCTGACTCCACAGTCTTAACCAATTGGCTTCATTGCCTCTGTACCATGGCACATAATAGCTACTCAATAAAAACTCATTTATTAATGAATGACTGAGCAGAGGATGACCTAACTGGCTGAGGGTAGGCAGGAAGCCATACCCAGGATCTAAAGTATCCTGGACCACTGTGGGGCTCCCTCCATGGAAGGTGATGGGAGGATACTGGAGGGGTGATGTGGTCCACACCCTGGGTGGATGAAACTTCCTCACATTCCCCTTCCTCTGACTTCAGATAGGAAAGGCAAGGAGCTGTTGATGGCTCTTTTCCTGAGGTGTGTCCAGAGATGTTTCCTGGCCCAGAGAAACTCCCAGCCCAGCCCTCCTGTCCCCAGGACTGAGAACTCACAGGAACCCGGATGCCACAAGGAAGATGAGAGGAGACAGTCCAAGGGACTGCACCAAGAGCCACGCTCCGCTCGCCGAGGTCCTGCTGGCATCGATGCCTGGAAGTGGATCTGTCTTGCCAGCTGCAGGGCCAGCACAGCCAGAGTGCCCTGGGAAAGACAGCACGTCAGAGACATAGCTCTGCACCAGGCAGCTCCTAGAGGCTCGGCCTTCAGCTCAAACATCACTTCGAGAAGCCTTTCCTGACTCCAGGTGGGGGCAGCTCCTCCACTCCATTCTCTTACAGCACTCTCATGTCCCCTGTGGAACCCTGATCATAGTGGTACTTACGCAATCATTTCTATAATTATTCCACAAAGGTCTGACTCTCCTGTTAGTCGTAAAGCACCACGAGGGCAGGAACCATGTCTGTTTTCCTCACCAGTGTATCCCGGCACCCAGTACAGTGCTAATATATACACGCTGAATAAATGCATGAGCGAGTTACTGAATAAACAAAGTCTAAGCAGGCAAGAAGATAATGTATTAAGTTGGGGCTTTGCCACAGATGCAGCGACAGGTCAGAGTTTCCCACCAGGCTCACTCTCTTTCTCTAACCTGGTACAATTCCCCTCTGCCCTGACCAAGCCACCTCACCACACACACATACACAGGTACAGGCTTGTTGAAGGCGTTTATTCTTCAGCAGGTCTGCAGAACACCTAAGCTAGCTCCTAGTCCACTGACTGCTTGGTTTTCCCTGTCCCTTCCTGTATATAGAAAGGGACACCCCAATACCTATTGTTGCATCAGGCACTAGGTACAATGACAAATAAGACAGACACAGTTTCTGCCCTCATGGAGTTTATATCTTCATTGAAGGAGAAAGACAAAAATCCAAGTACACAGAGAAATAAATACAATAACTACAAATTACGCTAAATTCCAAAAGGAAACAAATCGGGGTTTACATGGAATATAAGAGGGGGCCCTGACAAGATAGAGAATCAGAGACATCCTCTCTACTGGGGTGATGATGTGTGGGCTGAGGCCAGAAGGAAGAGAAGGTGCTGGCATTGTCAATAACAGGAACATGTACCCAAGGCACTGGGGACAGCTTATGCTCAGGCCCTTTCACACGAGCAGTAGTGACAGAGCTGAGAAATGGCATCAGGACCTCTGGGATCCAGGTCGTTTCCAAAAGGATTCTCTGTGGGATCACCCTAGGGTTTGGGGCTAACAACATGGGAAAATGCTCCCTTCTCCAAGGTTTATCATGGATCTAGTTCACAGCTCCCCAGACAGAAGTGCCCCTGTCATGGAGATATTCTAGGCTTAGCTCTGCTGATGACACCCATTTACAGATGAGACAACTGAGGCTCAGAGAGGTCAAGTCACTTGCCCAAAGTACATAGCACAGAAGTGATAGGGATGAGATGTGACAGACACAACACTGATGTATATGCCAACTCCATTCAAAATACCTTATAAGGACAACCTGGAAAGCAGAATCAGCCCTATTAGATTGAGCATCTGACTTTCTAGGTCAAATTCAACAAATATCTATTGAGCAACTATTATGGGCCAGGATCTGACTGGGTGCTTTTACAAGCCATACTAGGTGCAGGAACCAAGCAATAGAGCATGGCAGGTACGAGTATGAGCTTCAGAGTAAAATCTGGCTCCTCTACTTAAGAGCTGTGTGATGTTAAGCATGTAACCTAAAGTTTCAGAGCCTAAGTTTCCTCATCTATAAAATAGAGGTATTTCCCTTGCAAGGTTTTTGTAAGGAATAAACAAGATAAAGCACAGCTCTGGCCAGTTTGGCTCAGCAGCTGGAGAACCAAAAAGTCATGGGTTCAACTCCAGTCAAGGGCACATACCTCATTTGTGGTTTGGTCCCCAGCCCTGGTTGGGGACGTGCGGGAGGCAACCGATTGATGTGTCACTCTCACATCAATGTCTGTCTGTCTGTCTCTCTCTCCCTCCCTGCCACTCTATCTGAAGATAAATGGAAAATTATCCTTGGCTGAGGATTTAAAAAAAGATAAAGCATATGTAATACTTTACATTAATAAATAAAATATTAGCTATTTAGCATTATTTACTGCAAGCTCCATGAAGGCAGAAATCATATCTACCTTCTTCTCTGCTATTTCCCTAGTGTTTACCAAAAATGCCTGGCTCGGAGAGGTGTCAAATAAATGTTAACTGAATAAGAGGAGGAATAAGTACATGGAGGGCAGGGGGTGGGGAGAGGCTCTAGCTCTCTAAATTTGCTCCAGTGCCACAGGTTACTCAAAATTTGCGTGTGGGTATAATGATACCCTAGCTCTGGTTTCTAGGCTCTACTTCCATGCAGGATCATTCCATGAAGGTCAAGGACGGGGTGTGGAAGCCTTACCCATGATATGGCATCCCACAAGGTGTTTCGGGAGACACAGCCAGACATCCAATGGAAGGCATCCTTCCATCCATGGAACCTTGAGCCCCTGCTTGTGCCTGGACCTGAGCCATGGGGGCCTGACCTAGATGATGTAATAGAGTCCATTAAATTCTGTCCCAGGTAGGGGGGAAAGGGGAGTTAGGGGAGGAGATGGGTGACAGAACGGTAGTATCTCACCTGTCAAAGCTTGGCACAGAGACCAGCAGGGTCGAGGATGTAGCCTGAGAACTATTTGGCCTGGTGGACTTGGGGGTCACATCTCGGAGGCCAGGTCCTAGCAGACGGGGAAGGGCTGTGCAGAGCAACAAAAATCAGTCACCTTGACATAAACAAGATTGAGGCAATGGCAGTCCCACCTCTGACACTTGACAGTGCCCCACCCTAGGAATCCAAGAATCTCTGACATCTGACTCTGCAGAGGTTTGTAAAGGATACATGTGGGAATCTTTTGCCTAGTACAGGTTCTAGGGTGCCATCCCAGAACAAATAAACCAGATCATTGGGTGGAGCATCTATACTTTAGTAAAAGCTCCCCAGGTAATTATGATGCCTTCTTAGGGTTGACACTGTTCTAAACCACTGTTCTAAAATGATCAGGTAGCCCTGGCTGGTTAAAGCATCCGCCTGCTCACCGGAGGGTTGTGAGGTCAATTCTCAGTCAAGTGCATGTGCCTGGGTTGCAGGTTCGATCCCCAGCCCAGTCGGGGGCACATGGGGAGGCAACCAATTAATATGTCTCTCTCACATCAATGTTTCTCTCTCTTTCCCTCTCTCCTCCTCCCTCCTTTCCTTCTACTGTCTGTAAAAATCAATGGAAAAAATATCCTCGGTTGAGGATTAACAAAAAATATAAAAATAAAAAATTAATTAAAAGATAAAATAAAAGGGCCAGGCATTCATACACAAACTCGCCCAATATTTGGGGCGCTTTGTCTCTAATTCCCGCTTCTTTTCATTGGCACTGCCTACTCTACTGGCCTCTGCTCCTCTTTCACTGACTCCACCCACCATCTCCTGTTATCTGGCCTCTCTGCCTTCCAACAGCCACACCCATCTCCTTGGCTCTAAACTCTCCCCTCTTCCAACTAACTCCATGCACACCCCAAATTCCAACAGCCCCTGTCTTCCGGCGTGCAGCCCCGCCCCTTTAGGTCCCGCCTTCCCTCCGCTCTAGCCCTGCGCACTATTGCTTTGGTTCGGTCCTCCCTCCCGGCCCCTCCTCCAATTCCGAGTCTCAGCTGCCTCAAGATGCGCGGCTCCAACGCCCCTCACTTCGGCTTAGGAGTCCCTGGAGGCGCCACATGTCGTCGCTAACACCATAAAGGCTCGCAGCCGAAAGAGCGGGCCAAACCGCGGAACAGCGGCGGCTGCGGCCGCGGTGGCGCCCTCTGGGCGGCCGAGCCCCAGGAAGCTCTCAGCCAACCAATTAGGAAGGAGCCCAGCCGGAAGGACGGTGCCCCGCGAGAGGAAGTGAGGGTGTAGCTGTGTTTTTGGCTAGCGAGAGGTGAACTGCGGCAAGGGCATGGGCGCGTGGGCTGCGCCTGGCACAAGAGCGGGGAGAGCACGCAGAGGCGGGGTGACCGCAGGTGGCGAAGCTGAACCGCCTGAAAAGCGGAGCTGGGGTGGCTTCGGTGACGCAAGAGGACCTTGCAGACACCGTGGAGATGCGAAAGGGGAACAGGCTTCCCCAGGCCCCGCAGCTGGAGGAGGCGGGAGTAACGAGACCCAGTGGGCGGAGGGGTTCCTCAAAGGAAACCCATAGTCCGAATTTACCATCCAAGGTCCTCTGTTTGGGGAGGCGGGCCCGGCCCACTGGGTAGTCGATGAAGAACTGCACAGGCAGGGTTCTGATTCCGGGGTTCCAGCTCTGGCTCGGCTTTTGTTTCACCGTGTAGCCTCTAGCGAACCCCTTCCACTGTCTGGGCCTCACTCTGCGTTATGAGAGGGTTAGATAGAGTGATCTCAACTGGTCCCAACTGGTTTGACAGGAACAACGAGTTTCTGTTTTAAAAATACCTAAGGGCAGAAACCCCTCCCCCCCAGTACACACACCTGTTAGAACCCTCTAATGCCGTTGATGTGTTCGTTTGATGGGAAAAGAATGGTTCCTCTTTCACAGCACTTGGATCCATAAAATAAAGGAGCTCAAATTCAAATATAAGGTGTTTAGACTTCCTCCTTTACCCCGAGTACCTGACTTCTGGGCAGGTGGAAGTCTCCACCTGGGGTAAAAGAGTACTGGTGGGTACCTACTTTTTTAAACGGACAATAACAACCAGACAGTTATATTAATTTGTTTGATTTTGAGCCATATGTCAACCACCATCCTAGAATCTAAGAAGACAGAGGAAAGGGCATTTGTGGCCTCCAGAGAGACATGGTCCAGTGTTTTAAGAGTGGTCTCTGGAATTCCACAGATGGTTTGAATCCCAGCTATGTGTTTTCCTCCTACCTATGTGTTCTTGGGCAGTTTACTTAACCACTTTAAACCTCAGGTTCATCATCTATAAAATAGGAAAAATAATATCTCATGCAAGTGTTGGGAGGCTTAAATAAAATAGCACATTTAAAATGTTTAGCATAGTTCCAGGCATGTAGTAAGAGCCTAGTAAGTGTAAGTTGCTTTTAATTGTATAAGGGAGGTGAGTAGGCAAAATAAATAGATATGTTCCAATGGAAGCATGAGCACTGGGTTATGAGATACCATGGAAAGATTCAGAAAAGTAGCTGTATTTGAGCTGGACCTTTACGTATGAGTCAGTGTTTACCAGGTGGAGAAAGCAGAATGACATTGCAAGCAGAAGAAACAACAAATACAGACTCAGAAGTATGAATATGAGGGTACTATTCAGAAATATCCTTGCTTTGCGATTTGGGGCAACCACTTTTCACGTGTTGTTGCCTCAAAATAAAATAAGGTCTGTCCCTCCTGGGACTTCCGCACTCTTCCTCCATTCAGCCCTGTCTGTGGTTCATTTTATTTCTCAAGCTTCAGCCACATCCAGCGCTTCAGCGAGAACTCCCCTGTTGGACAATAGCCCTCACTGTTCTCCGCTATTCCCAATTTCTGTAGCACTTAATTTCTTAACACACAATTTAACAGTAATTATATGTTGTCCTGTTATTTAATTACCTCATTTGTGTAAGTCTGTTCTCTCCATTCTCTCCCTCGGGGCAGGGATGGCATTTTCCCATCTTGCATCCCACGTTGGGCTTGACATAAACTGTCCACAGATGTTCAAACAATACCTGTTGACTTGACTGGACACCTTGTTGTGCTATGATTATAGACATTGAACACCAGACCCCAATCATGGGATTTATTGATTCTAGTGGAAATGTATTCATTCCACATACAAACATTGAGGGCCCTCCATGTTTGAAGCTAAACATTTTTTAAGAAGATCAAGTATCTGTTCCCATATGTAAAATAGCCTGATGATGTCTCTTGTCTCTAGAAGCCTGAGAACACTAAGAGACCACATGTGTGAGGTAGATGGCTAAGGCAGCTGGAGTCCTCACCGACACACCAGATCACCTATTGAGTGCAGTGCAGAGGAGCACCATCAAGGATGGCATCTTTGTTCCTTTACCTTTAGTGGTTTGTTTGTTTTTTAAATATCAGAGAGAGGAAGGAAGAGGGAGAGAGAGAGATAGAAACATGAATGAGAGAGAAACATTAATCGACTGCCTTCTGCATGACCCCCTACTGGGCATCAAGCCTACAACCCTGGCATGTGCCCTGACCCAGAATCAGACCAATGACCTCCTGGTTCATGGGATGATGCTCAACCAACTGAGCCACACTGGCTAGGCTTGCCTTTAGTTTTGCCTGACCTTCCAGGCTTAACCCGTCAAGCATTCTCCCAAGATTGCTGTGTTGTTGACTCATAGTCCAAAGTAAATTTGACTCAATCCCTCTAACAAAGGTAAGTGAACCTACTACCCAAATGTCTACTTAATCACCTTTTGTTGTTGTTTTTTAAAATCCTCACCCAAGGATATGTTTACATTATCTTCTGACAACGTGGGAGGGAGAGAGAGAGAGAAACATCGATTGGTTGCCACTCACACGACCCCAGCCTGGGCCGGGGATGAACCGCAACTGAGGTACATGCTCTTGGCTGGAATCGAACCTGGGAGTCCCTGGTCTACAGGCTGACGTTCTAACTACTGAACCACACCGTCCAGGGCTTAATCACCTTTTGTTGATGCCATTATGTACCCACCACAATGAAGGTTCTAGACAGTTGTTTTTGCCTTAGTTTGGCTAGACATTCTTAATTTGCATTAATCCAATATATGAGAGCTTATTCTGTGCTGGAGAGTGTCCTGAATATATAACAATTTTTTAAAAATGAGCATGGTCCCTGCCTTCACAGAGAAAATAGTCTAGCAGGCCAAACAAACTCAGTAGACAATTAAAGTACAGAATGGTGTTTTAGTTATTGCAGCATAACAAACTCCAAAATTTAGTGGCTTTAAACAGTCATTATCTCTCATAGTTCTGTGAATTGACTGGACTCAGCTGGGCAATTCTGCTGGTCTCACTTGGGGTGTCTCATGAGACTACTGTCAGATGGCAGTCGAGGCTGGAATATATGAAAGCTCAACTGGGACACTGGAAAAGCTGAGCCTCTTTGCCATGTTCCACATGGCCTCTCCAGCTGGGTAGCTGGACTTCCTAAACGGTGGCTCAGAACTTGTAAAAGTACAAAAGTGGAAGCTGCCAGGCTTCTTTCTGGCTTAGGCCTGGAACCCGCACAGTTTCACTTCTGCACTCTGTGGGTTAAAGCAATTCATAGGAGCAGCCCGCAATCACTGTGGGAGGGAAAGACACAAATGCTTGAATAGTAGTTCAGAGCTCTTTGGAGATTAGCAAGTGCTTTAGTGGGGAAAGTACAGGATGCTATGGAAACACCTAGGAGAGGAACTCCTAGGAAGACTTCCTGGAGGCAGGGACATCTAAACTGATGAACCTAAATGGTGAGGTCTGGGAACTAGCCAGATGAAGAAGGGGAAGGGAAAATACAGTTCTGGCTGGGGAAACAGCTGGTGCAAATTCCCAGGGAGGCAGAGTACAATTTTAGATCAGTGTGGTTGTTGAAGGGGTGGGAGTGGTATAGGTTAGTGATAGCCCTTTAGTCCGGAGAGGTAAATGGAGCCAGGTCATAAAGTTTAGTAAGCCCCCCCCAAGATGTCTGGACTCTGTCCTGAGGGTATTAGTCATCAAGAAAGGAAGCAGGGACATGATCAGGCTGAAGGAAATCTAAAATGGTTATTGGCTGCTGAGTGAGTGATAGATTAAAGGGATCAAGCCCTTATTTTCACCATGTCCCTTCTAGCCAGTGACATCATCTTCATCACTGAGAAGGCTGAGTCATCACCTCAGCACTAGTATCAGTTGTTTTTGTTTTGTATTAGTGGGACTTTTTATCATTAAAAAAATGCAAGCTCCTTTGTACACGTTTTTTGTTTTTTAATTTTAAAATGAACGTGTCATAGAAAGCCTGCTACTTGGTAGCATCTGGTCATGTGTTTGGTCAAGTGGTCAAACAATTTCTACCTAAGTGTGAAGTGAGTTAAGGAGGGCAAGGAACATGCCAAGCTTGGTGGATTTTATCCTTTGGTTAAGTAATGATTGGTTAAGAAAGAACCTACTCTAGTAAAAAGTCAAATAGTACTACAAGGCTTATAACAAAAGACAGCAGACCCCTGCCACATGCAGCTCTCTACTCTCTGGTCCTGCTCCCTAGAGGTAACCGTGTTTAACTCTCTGAGGTTTCAGGAAGCAGCACTGAGGGGCACAGTCTGGCATCCAACACAGCTCTCCCACTTACAGCTGGGTAAACTTAGTCAAGTGAATTATATCTTTTACCACAGTTTCCTCATCTGGAAGATGAGAATGAGAATTGTACCCTTCTGCCCTGGCTGGTTGCTCAGTGGTTAGAGCATCGGCCCGTGGCCCAGAGAGGCCCAGGTTTGGTTTCCACTAAAAGCATGTACCTCGGTTACAGTTTGTCCCCGGCCACTCGATGTGTCTCTCTCACATCAATGTCTTTCTCTCTCCCTCCCTCTCTATCTCAAATGCAAAAATGTCCTCGGGTGAGGATAAAAAAGATTTGTACCCTTCTTTTTTTTTTAATCCTCACCCGAGGATATTTTTCCATTGATTTTTCAGATAGAATGGGAGGGAAAGAGGGAGAGAGAGAGAGAAACATCGATGTGAGAGAGACACAACAATTGGTTGCCTCCTGCACGACCCTGACCAGGGCCGGGGATCGAACATGCAACCGAGGTACAACCCTGGACCCGGAATCAACTCTTCATTCCTCGGGCCAAGACTCTAACCGCTGAGCCAAACCGGCCAGGGCAGAATTGTACCCTTCTCACAATAT